TTTGTCCTTCATTAAAAGCAGCATTCAGTGGCAACATAAAAAGAAAACCGTAACTGGAAAAGATGCCAGAGGGGTTGAAGAGTGAGGCTGAATCAGGGATGGGTAAAATATGGCCTGCCAATTGATTGTATCTGGCCCACAGATAAGTTTTGGAAGACAGCCCTGGGAAGCTGCTAGCAGCGAGGTAGAGATTCCGTGTGGCTGTGCAATGTCTCCAGTCAAACACCCTGCCATCCCATCTCACCCCATCCTGGCCAATCCCTGCTTGGAGTCTTTGCATCTGCAACTTTAACCCACGTGCAGCCATAGGGAGCCAGAACTGGGCATGGGGGAGTTGCTATGATACACACCATCTGAGCGTCTGGTGCTGGAGCATGTATCCCGCTTGCCAGAGGTGTTGGGCACTGAGTTGTAGTGGCTGTCGGGGTGCTTTGGGCAAGAGGTGGTGGGAAGGCTGGTGCAGCAGGTGGTACAGCTGCTGGAGGCACTAGTGGGCCCACCAGAGCCTGAACCCAACCCAGAGCCCCAGCCCAGCAGCTGCTTAGACCTGGGCGGAGCACTGCTGCAGGTGGCACAGAGCCTGTGTGGGGAGCAGGGAAGTGAGAGGGTTTGAGGGTTCCCAGGGAATCAATTAGATACAGGGCAACTCGTGCACCCTCCAGCTGCCCTGTGCCTCCCCCCAACCTCCCCACAGAACCTACCTAGCTGGGTGATGGGGTCAGTGCATGGCCCAAGCGGAGTTTTTGGGCGCAGGAACAGAGCAACAGTCGCCCGAGCCCCACCAGCAACCAATGCATGCTCTACTGGTGGGGAGGGGACTGGGAATCCCCAGCAGTAGCTCCAAGGAGCTGTGCATCAGGTGTCTGGAGGGCCCTGGAGAGGATAGCATGAGCTGGGCAGGGCAGGTACACTAATGCCAGAGCTGCCAGACAAGGCTGGCAGCCAGGGCATGGAGAGCCTGGCTAGGCCCAAAGAAGGGCTAGTGGTGCCTGGCTGGGCTGTGGGGAGAAGCTCCTACTTCTGCTGCTTCTCTGGTGTGAGCACCAGCCCAGCTGTGGGGAGCTTGTGTGTATTTGTACTCTTGTGTGGGATGTGCGTACACAGCCCTCAACAGCTCACCAAAAGTCATTAAATGGCCCTCCAGCCCAGATAATTGCCTACCCCTCAGCTGAATCCTTATATTAACTTCTCTGCAAACATGTGACAGATAGTATGAGTCATCATTGATGTTCTGACTTCAGTCTCCTGGGCAACTTATCAGACCTGGTGTTGGTCAAGTATGTCTTACAAATTCTTTTTGTTAACCAGTCATTCAAATGCACAGGTACTTTTGCAGCAAGTGGAAATGCTAGCAGGGGTGAGTAAGGCACTGGACACATATGAGGCTACCTAAGAAGAAGTTAAGTCATTAGTGTCATTGATATGCAGATGAAATGCTTTCTAAAATAGGAGGATTAACACCACTTTTCTAGTGCTTCCCCAGGATAGTATCTTAAAGCAACTTGGCTGAAATACGGAGGCAAAACAGTGGAAATAGTGGTGATGTTTGTATGAGGAAATGCATCATATCATGGAGAGAGAACTTTCTGAAATTTAAACCTGATTCCTTTTTGCTCAGTCTTGTACCTCACTGAAGTCAGGTCCTTCTGACTTAAGTAGGGGTATAATCAAGCTCATTAAGAGCTTATGTTGCAGCAGAAATCAGACAACATGTTTACCAGTCCCTAAATATGAACTGGATTGGGACTGAGCATATCATTCCCAGTGGTGGGTTTTTTGACTCTGGAATACTTCCATCTGCTGATCCTACAAAGCCTGAATTTGTTATTCTTTATAGATAGGATTTAGGACTGATCCATTTAGTCAGGCTTTCTCCTGAGACAGGCAGTGACAGCATTTAATCTCTTTTTAAACTTGCTAAATGTGTGTTTGCTCCAGTGTAAAAAAGGGGAAAACTTGACTGATAGGGTGACCATATGTCCTGGTTTGGTCAGGACAGCCCCAGATTTCATAGGCTTTCCCAGTGTCCCCACCAGTTGGTGAAAATGGAAACAAAGTCCCAGATTGGCACCAACCCACCCATACTGCTTGCCCCAGCTCTTCCATTGGCTGAAGGTGAGGGTGTGGGCTGTCCTGGGCACCACTCCTCCTTCCTGAGGCAGGGATTAGCTGGGGGGAGAAGAGGGAGCAGTGTCCCAGATTTCCTTAGAAATAATATGGTCACCATATTGGCTAGTGGACTTTTGGTAAAACAGTGACACTCAGTCCTGACTGGCTCTGAAGCCACATGAGTTGTCAGTGTTAACCAGAGACACAATCTAGATTAGGGGTGGGTAAAATACAGCCCGCAGGCTGGATCCGGCCTGTGGAGGGACTTTGTCCAGCCCACGGTGCGTCCCTTGGTCCTGCCTGGCTCAGGTGCCACCTGGCTGTGGTACATTCTGCTGTCCCTTGGACATGCAGCAGGACTGGGGCAGTTCCATGGCTAGACTGCCTTTCTAAGCAACCCAGGCAGCAGCAACTCCTTCCTGCTGCCACCACCACTGGCCCCAGGCCTGCACGTAGCCCCGATCCAGCAAGCCCCTCACCTGCTCTGGACTTGCACATCCAGGCTCAGCAGTGGCGGCTGCCAGCCAGAAACTATTGCTCAGCACAGGAGAAAAGCAGTTCCTCCCCACACCACTGCTGGGCAGTTCTTGATTCAGTTGTCCAGAGCCTGCACCATGCCAGGCTGCCCTGTAGTTCTGCCACATGGGCTGCCCTGTGGCTGCTCTGCACTGTCACCACTGCCCCACTAGGCATCCCAGAGCAGCGGTGATGGCAGCAGACTTGCGGGGCAGCCCAGAGCAGTGCAGGCTCTGGGTGACTGCACCAAGAATTACACAGCAGTGGTGAGGGGGAGGGGGCTTTTCCCCTGTGTCAAGGAACAGTTTTGGTCTGGCAGCTGCCACTAAGCCTGGATGGGTGAGTCCAGAGCAGGCACGGGGGTGTGCTGGGTTGGGGCAGCGCACGCGGATCCCTGCCAGTACCACCGGGCTGGGGTCGGTGGTGGCAGCCGGAAGGAGCCACCCCAGCCCCGCTGCATGCCCAGGGGGTGGCAGGATGTGCCACGACTAGGTAGTACAAAGCAGGTGCACAGCAGGTTGGAGCTGCAGAGCTACACGCGCGCACACACGCACATCCACACATATACATACACACACACCCGCAGCCCCCCACAAACCCCATTGCCCCCACACAAACCTACCACACCCCTCACAATATACAAGAGTAAGACCTCATTTTGGGTCATTACACAATCACATCTATGTACACAACGCAGATGCACACAAGGACAAAAATGTATTTTTAAATAAAATTAAAATATATTATTGTGGATGTTTGATTTTTGTAATATAATTTGTTTTTGGTTTTTTTCCCCATTCTAAGATGACAGAACCCCTTCCCAAAAGGAATGTGTCTGGGGGCAAGGGAGGGATGTCCGGTGGTAAAGGTTAGTGAGTGGAACTTCTGGCCCTAAGATGGTAACCAAGGGTGGGGTGATTGTCAAAGGGCAGGGCCACCTTTGCAGCTGTCAGTGGCTCACAAAAACTCGTTAATCAGCCCTTCAGGCAAAATAATTGCACACTCCTAATCTAGATGAACTGTAGCAAAAACAGTCTACTTCGACAGGGGGGAAAAAAAGCTACAGTATACTTTTTCATATTTTCGCAGCTTGTGCTGTATTATTGTGATTGGATGCAAGAGATAACAAATGCATATAGTAAAAATAAATTTTAAAAATTTGGTGACTTTTCCTACAGAGGACCTCAGGTGGTAAGTTGGAGAGCCATTTGCATCCCAGCAGACAGGGTCCAAACAAAGGTTTTGCTTTGAAAACCATAAATTAGGGCATTTTCCTGAAGTATAAATCATGCTGTATATCATTGCAGCAGTATCTGGCAGGTATCATGTGGAATACTTTCTTGACAACTTTATACAGAAACATGACTGACTATCTTTTTTTTTTCTGGGAAGTCACCACAACTAATAATGACCTATACTTTGATCCCTCCCTCCTTTTTGGCTAGGGACAGACATTCAAAAAGCCTGAACCTGAATTGATTCAGTCTTTGCAGGTTAATCTAATGTGGCTATGCTAAATCAGTTTTGTAACTGGACAGACATCCCAGAAATGCAGGCACATGCCTGCAGTGGCTTAGGCTATAAGCTAGGAGGCACTAGAGCAGCCCTCCCTTCCTTCCACAACATGGAGCTGAGGGGGCGTGACCAGGCTCTGGCAGGCTGTGATTTGCCCAGCAGGGAATTAATAAGAGTGTTTATCACCCAATTAAGAAAACAACAAAGAGACGTTACCCTGCTACTTGTTGATTCTGCCTGTTGATTCTACCTGTTGACTCAGCAAGGACCATAGCCAGCATGTGGTCTGCTAGCTAATACACAGACACCTCCTCAGCAAGGCAGAGGTGAGGGGGGAATTCCTGCTTAGCAGGAAGTGGTGAGGGGGGAGCTGTAGCCAGACAGCAGAGGGGAGGGGCCAGCCCTGCTGTGGAACAGAGAGCGCCACCCAGCCTAGAAACCATGCCAGGATGCTGGGGGTGTCTGGTTTATCTTAAACAAGCAAGGGGTCTGGGACAGACATTGCATAAACCAGTTTGAGCCAAATCAGTTAAGTCTGATACTACATTCATCCAGGTTTATCTCGTACCAGTTTCAGCCATTTTCAAACTAGTTTATGTGCACTGAACATCTGTTCTCTTACAGGTTTAAACCAGTTTCTGATCACTTAAACTGGTTTGTGTGTAATGTCTGTCCCTAGCCTTTTTGACAAGTAAGAAAACACTCCAACATTTATTTTTGTATTAAATGACAGAATACTGCAATTACTAAAACAATCCATCATATTTTTACAGGTTGAAAGGTCAATGTCCTATTTATGTAATGCTATGTTGAAAACCTGTATTTTGTTAATGATACTTTATCTGTATATTTCCTTACAGTTAGAAATGGAAAAGTCTCAGTTACAGAATCTTGAGCTGGAGCACAAGAAGTTATCCGCTCGTCTTGAAGAAGAACGTGGCAAGAATAAGCATGTAGTTTTGATGCTAGTGAAAGAATGTAAGCAGCTGTCTGGCAAAATAGTAGAGGAAGCACAAAAACTGGAAGAAGTAATGTCAAAATTTGAAGAGGAAAAGAAAAAGGCTAATGAATTGGAGAAATCCCTTGCAGCTGAGAAACAAAGAAGTACACAGATGGAAGCTCAAATGGAAAAACAGCTCTCTGATTTTGACACAGAAAGAGAGCAATTGCGTGCCAAACTTAACAGAGAAGAAGCACAAACCAGTGACCTCAAAGAAGAGAGAGAAAAAATGAAAAAAATGATCGAACAGTTGAAAAAGGAAAATGATGGTAAACCCAAACTTTCTCACACCCATAGAAGTAAAGATAGGAGTTTTGTTTCTGTATCTGTTGAAACAGAAGGACCAACTTCTAGAACTATTGCCTGCCAGACAGATACAATGCTGATGGACCTTAGCTCTGAAAATGTTAGGAAACTGCCTTTGACTGTACCCACAAAGCCTTCAGCAGTAAACCCTCTGGTTTCTGGTAGCACAAAAATGAATGTATGCTCCAATGCAGCATTTGTGAAACCAGTCATTGATAGGCAATCTTCCTATAGTGAACTGATTGTTCCCCCCACAACTCCTGTTCTAACTCAGAGTGCAAATAGAATTGAGGAAAATGGACCAAGTAGTGATTCATCACCCGATTTAACAAGTAGTACTCCCCCTTTCCCAAATAATGCTCCCCTCTCCATCATGTCACCATCAAGTATGGCATCTCAAAACTACTCGTTAGCTTCATCAGTGCATGGTTTACAGTCACCATCTGCCAACACTGCTGTGCCTCCAGGTCTAAATCCACGAATCCAAGCAGCTAGATTTAGATTTCAAGCCAACGCTAATGATCAAGACCAAAATGGAAACACTACTCAAAGCCCTCCATCAAGGGATGTATCCCCAACTAGTCGTGACAACTTAGTTGCCAAACAGCTAGCTCGGAATACTGTTACCCAAGTTCTTTCGAGATTTACAAGTCCTCAGAGTACTGCTATTCTGCGTCCTGGAATCCAACATTCAATGGAAGTTGGCACCTACCCTCCAGTTGGTAGAACAGGTTTAAAGACTCCCAATGTATCAAGAATTGACAGAGGAAATCCTCCACCTATTCCTCCTAAAAAGCCAGGGCTTTCACAAACTCCTTCTCCACCACACCCACAGCTTAAAGTTATTATGGATAGTAGTCGATCCCCGAATACGGGTGTAAAAATTGACAGCAAAACCATGGTTTCACCTCTTTCCACTTCACAGCAAGGAATCAGGGTAATAAATGAGGAAATAATTTCTAAGTCCTCACCTCAACTGCCACCAAAACCAACTATAGATATATCTGTGGCATCTACAGGCTGTGCCATACCAGCCATTGCCACATCTCAGGTGGGTTCCTGGCCTTCCCAATTCCCTGGACTGAACCAACCTGCATGTTCAGAAAGTTCCTTTATCATTCCCACCACCATTGCCTGTAGCTCCTCCATAAACCCTGTTAGCGCTTCATCCTGTAGACCATGTGACTCAGACAGCCTCCTGGTAACAGCATCAGGTAAAGGGATTGCTATACTACAAATTGTCTCCCTCTAAGAATGTTCTCTGCTTTTTATCCTGAAGCTATCACTTGCTTTATTTTTCTTTTACATCTTTTCCCTTTAAACTGGTTTATTTTTTCTAAAGTTGGAATTTCCATGTATATTTTTCCAAGTTTCAGGGGTATGGGAATTAATTTGTTTCAGAAATGTTTAGCTTTTAGTGAAGATAAAGCACTTACCTCCTCAGAGGAGCCTAGAATATTGGTAACTTGAGAAAAAACTGAAATATAAGCATCATTTGTAGCATCTAGCTGTATTTTTGGATTGTGGAGCAAGCTAAACAGCAGGTGCATGCATCAAAGAGGCTCATCCTTGTCACTCATGCATTTCCTTGACATCTTGCCAGCTTCAAGTTTTCCTTGAGATTAAAATGTTATGAACCAGGGCCCTTCTTCACCTTTGGAACCAGTACAGAATTTTTCCGCTATTTTTCTTTTCAAATATTCCCCTGTTGGAAAAGGTCAGCAATTCCAATGCAGAAAATGCAGTCCTCCCATTTCCTTCCTAAGGGTTGTGGCACATGTTACACTTGTGGTGCGCTTAAGGTGTTAAGCACACCGTATATTGTAACTTGCTACATGTGCATCTAAATTTGTGATGTCATAGGGCGAATCAGTCATAAAAATGTTCCACATCTATTGTAGAGTATCTTTGTGTCTGGCTGCTATGCTGCCTTAAATTGAACATAAGACCAGGAGCTCCTTATGCCAACACAACTCTCCACTAAGTGTCTGAATAGTGAATAGTATCAGGGCAGCCCCAGGTCTAAAAATTGCACTTATATTAGGGTGCACATGCTGTGGTTTAAAAACCTAGTGGTTCAGGAACTGGGTTCAAGAAGGCTCTCCCTGGCCCTTCTTCCCCACATCTTCAGCTTTTCAACACCCACATGCAGCCCCACTAAGCCCTGTATGCTATGATTTAAAAGCAGGGGGAAAAGCATCCAGGTCAGGGAGGCTCTTCCCAGCCCTGCTTCCTGTGCTTCTGACTGAAAAACACTATGGTTGCAGCCCAGTTAGGCTGCATGGTGGTTTTTAGACCTGGGGCTGCTCTATGATGATCCTAATGCTAGCTGCCTGTGAGGATTGGGCTGTCTTGGGATCCAGAACAAACCCACTGTAGTAGGTAGGGTATAGCCCTGGCCACAGCAGTCACATAATCGTGTGCCCCATCTCAAACATTGTTTATTGGGGCATACAATTCCTCAGATCCCTGTTGTGCAATAATTTTAATGTCTGCCAGGAGCCCAAATGGCACAGGCAGGAGAATCTCTTAAGTGCTGGAACCCTGTATATGCACACAAAATTCAGGAATATTAAAGATAGTTATGAATTTTGGTGCTATTAGCTTCAGTTCTGAAAGAGTCCTCAAATTCTTCTTATGCTTTGACTCAAACAATACTGTTATATTCCATGTATTCAAAGTTGTCCTCCATGCTTTCTCAATTTTTACCAGTAGCAGTGTCTAACTGTCACTTAAATTAGGGTGATGACAGAAATAACAATTGCAGTTTTCAAAGGACCAGCTGTACGAACATACATGTCCTTTGAAATGCTCCAGCAGTAGCTGGAATGCTCCAAAATAGTACCTCTTGCAGTGGAGGTTCTCTAGAATCCCACAGTGCTCAGTTTTCTTCCTGAAACCACCCCCTGACTCTACAGGAGAGGGAGGAAGAGTGAGGTGGACTGTCTAATAATCTGCCAGGCTGTGCAGCCACAGGATCCCACTCTCTGGTCCTGCACACTCCAGCTGTCAGGGGCCTGCTGTCATCACGAGTACCGGGCTCTCCAGCATCTCCCCTACACATTTCTACTCCAGGGAGAGGGACAGAGAAGATTTAGAGGCCGTTTGGGCTGGAGAGTGAGAATCCTGGCAACAAAGCCAGGTAGTTTTTGCTGGTACTGGTGCCAGGCTCTCTAGCACCTCGCCCCCCACCCCCTTCCTGCTCCAGTAGAAATAAAAGGGTTGAGGCTGGAGAATCCTTGGGGCTGGAGAGCTCTCCCTAGCCTTCCTGTAGCATCCGCTGGCTGGAGAATTTTGAAACATTCCTGTCAGGGGCACTACAAGGGCTGTACACATGCCCTCTGGCTGAAACTCTTCATTTTTTAAACTTTTCCAAGCCCATTTGACTCAGAAATGTTTCAAAATTATTTCTGTCTGCATCCGTAGTTTGGTATTCTTCAAATCCCCACTTGCATCCAGGGCCAATTAGTCTCCATGCTGTTGATGGTTTTTATTTAAACAAGGCAAAATCATTACAAAAATCGGTTACAATTTGTGTGATCTTTCCTAATTGCTATAGGAAAGAGGCCATCTCTACATATATTCTGACAGTTTGAAATACGATGCTTTATTGAAAACCACTTTATGCGAACTGAGTGATACTATATCTGGCTCCTTGGATCATTTTCTTGGCATATGTTCATATTATTTCCTTCTTAGAAATCAGATGACATTTGTTTGACATGTAGATATGATTCTTGCTTTGGAAGTGCAGTCTTTTAATTTTCCCGTAGAATGTTTAGTGTTTCAATTTGTATTAACAAGATTTCATCATGAGCTTAAAAATAAGCATAGATTCATGGATGTTGGGGTCAGAAGGGATCATCGAGTCGGACCCCCTGCATAGGCATGAAAGTGTGCTGGGTTCAGCTGACCGCAGCCAGATACCTATCTAACCTCCACTTGAAGACCCTCAGGGTAGGGGAGAGCACCACCTCCCTTGGGAATCCATTCCAGATTTTGGCCACTCTAACTGTGAAGAAGTTCTTCCTAATGTCCAGTCTAAATCTGCTCTCTGCTAGCTTATGGCCATTATTTCTTGTAACCCCCAGGGGCACTTTCACCAATTCCCTTCTGCGCCCCCATGATGAATTTATAGCCAGCTACAAGGTCACCTCTCAACCTTCTCTTGCAGAGGCTGAAGAGGTCCAGGTGCCCTAGTCTCTCCTCGTAGGGCTTGGCCTGCAAGCCCTTAACCATACAAGTGGCCCTTCTCTGGACCCTCTCCAGGTTAGCCACATCCCTCTTGAAGTGTGGCGCCCAAAACTGGACGCAGTATTCCAACTGCGGTCTGACCAGTGCCCGATAGAGGACAAGTATCACCTCCTTGGTTCTGTTT